GCTCTTGGCGCTGGGAAAGTGTGACGTTAAAGGCCCAAAAGAAAAATAAAAAAGCATTGGCTGCTGTGAAGAATCACAGAAAGAGCTAGTTTCGGGTAGAAAAAAAGCACTTTTGAAGTCTGAAGGATGGGAAGGGCGATTGGTCACTGCTGGAGCTGGAAAGATTTGGTTGACGGTGGAAAGAAATAAGATAATAATACGTTTGAACGTTTCTCTTAGGCATATTGTCGGAAAGTTATGACAAAGCAGCCATCTACTTAGTGTTACATATATTGACGGCAGCTGGAATTACATATGCTAAATATTGAGAAAATGTGAACACCTCACCGGATGATGACATAATTAGGAAAATTTGGGATTGTGCTGAAATGGAGAGAGAGAGAGAGAGAGACTAAGAGAGAGAGAGAGAGAGAGTGAGAGACCAAGAGAGAGAGAGTGAGAGAGACTGAAAGAGAGAGAGAGAGAGACTGAAAGAGAGACTGAGAGAAAGGGGGGGAGAGAGAGAGACCAAGAGAGAGAGAGAGACTGAAAGAGAGAGAGACTGAGAGAGAGAGAGACTGAAAGAGAGAGAAAGAGAGACTGAGAGAGAGAGAGAGACAGAGAGGGAGGGAGAGAGGGAGAGAGAGAGAGAGAGACCAGGAGAGAGAGAGAGAGAGAGAGACTGAAAGAGAGAGAGACTGAGAGAGAGAGAGAGAGAGAGACTGAAAGAGAGAGAGAGAGACCAAGAGAGAGAGAGAGAGAGACTGAGAGAGAGACTGAAAGAGAGAGAGAGAGAGAGAGAGAGGGAGGGAGGGAGGGGGAGAGAGAGAGACCAAGAGAGACAGAGACTGAAAGATAGACAGAGACTGAGAGACTGAGAGAGACCGAGAGAGACCGAGAGGGAGACTGAAAGAGAGAGAGAGAGAGAGAGAGAGAGAGAGAGAGAGAGAGAGGGAGGGAGGGAGGGAGGGAGGGAGGGAGAGAAAGAGAAAGACTGAGAGACTTAACTTTAAAAATTAAATATAAAGAAGACTCAAAATATTACAGGACATGGAATAAATTTTACAAATGGATAGAGACAAGAGGTAGAAATGAGAGGGAAGTTTATGAATGTCAGTACAACAAAGGTGTATAAAACTATGGATGTCATATAGAAAAATTTGTAAATAAGCTAATGTAAGTAGAAACTTAGTTGGAGTTTTCTTTTATTTCCTTTTCTTTTGTTTTTGGTTGTATTGTTGCAATTACTGTTAACATAGTACAGTTATAGTTATTAGCATGTATGTTAAATTTACTATTATTCTTCTCATCGTTCCTATCACCCATCTCCTCCCACTTATGACTGTATGACTGTAACCTTGTTGCTGGTATCCTTACGATTTATATTGACTGCTTCCTAGTATGATTTGATTGCTTATTTGTACCCTATGACTATCATTAAGTGTTGCGCCTTATGATTCTTGACGAATGTATCTTTTCTTTTATGTACTCCGAGAGTGTATGCACCAAGACAAATTCCTTGCGTGTCCAATCACACTTGGCCAATAAAGAATTCTATTCTATATTATCATTGATCTCTCTCTGGCTTTGCTTTATTTGCATTGTTATCCTGACATGGCACTGTCTTTTCAATAAAATAAAATTTAAAAAAGTTTGAACATCTGGCTGGCTGTGTAGTGAACCAAAATAATAATAAAATGGCAAATGCAGAAACTTTTAAATACACGAATAAGTCAAGTGATTGAATTATTAGCTTTGCTGTCAAGGGATTTTTCTTCTAGAGACAACGATAGTAAAAAAAAAAAAAATTGTCCTTTACTTATGACCGTAATGGAGCCAGTCCATTCTGGTCATAACTCATGATTTAATTTAATTTTAATTTATCGAATTTCTATGCCGCCCAACTCCCAAAGGACTCTGATGGTTGTAAAACGGGTCAAACCCATGTGACCCACCCAATTTTGTAAGCTTTTTGCAGCAGTCATTAAGCGGATACCATGGTTATTAAGAGAACCTATCGGTGGTTTGCTATGGGCTGATTTTGCTAAGACCAGGAAGTAAATGCTACATTTTGGCAAAAATGTCATACAATATAGTTATGTGACCGTGAGATGTGCAAATGGGATATGTGTGGGCCAGTTGCCAAGTGACCAACATGCAGGGCGATGGTGATGCAAGGAGATGACCTTGCATCAAAGTGAGGGAAGGGTCAAACACACCATTAATTTGGAGTTGCTATGCTCCCACAAGAGAGCAAGGTCCAACTCTCCCTTGAATTTTGTTGACCCTCTAGCATCAATTTGCCTTGACCATTAATAGATCAGATTCTTGTGTATACAGTAGGTAGCAAGTAATAAACTTGCATTGCTTTCAACTCAACTCCTGCTCTTAGTTACTAGTGCCTGTCAGGTGGTGGCTGTTGGAACTTCAGATCCAGGCTGTAAGTACTCCCAGGGAAGTCCATCATAACTTCCAATGGTTGCTAAGCAACTAGTCAGAAGTCAAAGACAACCATGTAAACACATAGGGCAATAGAGTTAACCAAGATTCAGTACAAAGACTGACAGGTGCAAAGGATCAGGACTATTTGTTAAGTGGCAGTAGCACTTATGCTTATATACTTAAATGTATGATTTATTGGGTTAGGGATTTTCTGTTTCCACTGTGAGTTATATTGTGTTGGGTGTGTGTGTGCACTGAGGGAGCTCCACCAATCTCATTGTACATATGTTGTGCAGTGTCAATAAACGTTGTTATTGTTGTTGTTGTTGTTGTTGTTATTATTATTATTATTATTATTATTATTATTATTACTACTACTACTACTACTACTACTACTACTACTACTACTACTATACAAAAATACTCTACTCTGCTCTACTCCTATTCTGTTCTGTTCTGTTCTGTTCTGCTCTGCTCTGCTCTGCTCTGCTCCTGTTCTATTCTATTCTAATTCTATTCTATTCTATTCTATTCTATTCTATTCTATTATTATTCTATTCTATTCTATTCTACTCTACTCCTATTCTATGTTCTGTGCTATTCTATTCTATTCTATTCTATTCTACTCTACTCTACTCTACTCTACTCTACTCTGTTCTCAAATCAACTAAATGGACTTCAACAAATCATATGCCCAGTGACACGCCTTTGTGTGAAAAGCTGGGGCACCCTAATCTCAGGAGGAATGCTGTTTCGGATGACTGTCTTCATATTCCAAACTCTTTTGTATTTTGTATTATTGTATTTATTGTCCACTTTGCTTTCTGCGCCGCGTGTGTAAAATACTTCTGAGCAGCGCAGATCAAACTCCTGCCAGCCCCGCTTTCTTCCTCGCCTTCCATTCGCTCGTTCGACGCTGGGGCTCCGCCTTCCGCTCCGCTTGAGCCCCGCCGCTCGCCGTCGCCCCGTTGCCATGGCTACGTAAGCGGCGCGGCCTACTTTCGCCGCGAAGCCTGGGGGAGACGTTTACCCGACGAACCGAATCGGCCGACGGGGTTGTTGCAGCAAGCCGTTATGTCTTTCCGCGATCTCCGGAGTGAGTCGAACGGGTCCGGGGGGCGGGTGGGACGGCCCGATGCAGAGAGTCCCAAGCGAGCCTTAATCACCCGAACGGGGCGCCCCGCACCCCATTACCAAAGAGCTCAGGGCAGCGAATGTGACACACACACACACACACATCCCACCCCGCTTTGATCCATACAACAACCTTGGCAGGTAGGAGTCCCGGGAGGACTAAGAATAGATGGCCTGCAAGAATCATCCCGACCACAGAGGGCAGCAAAGAGGCGGGAGGCAAATCCCGGCTCGCTGCTGCCATCTAGAGGCCGCCTACAGCCATCCAAACTAACAAAAGCTATTTTTTCCTGGAAGCTTTAAAATGATGTGGAGTCCCATCGTCCCCAGCCAGCATGGTGTGTGTGTGAATCTGTCAAGGGTAAATGCCTTAACTGTGCCAGGGGTCAGCTATAGTGCAGCAGTGCAGGGGTTAATCCAAACTCCCACCTGTCCAGCTCCTCCCACTAACCCCTCCTTATCTAAGTCTCCGCCTTCTGGCATAAAAGGTGGGCACGCTCCTCCTCGCTCTTCAGATCCAGATGTTGCAAGTGTTGTTGAGATGATCCTGTGAATAAAAGAGATTTAATTAATCTACTGACTCATGTCTTGCTGTTGGGCCTGATCCATGAATCCTTGTAACAATATGGTAGCAGAGGATGGTTGGATGGCCCAATAACCTCCGAACCTACAACGAAGATACATCACTGCCTACGAGATGGCAACTCCACCGAAGCAAAGGGACAGCAACCCAGCAGGATCGCCTAGGAAGGCAGAAACCAAGACTGATCCCAAAGCCACCACATCGGAGGAAAGGAGGGAGACCAACAAAAGGGAAATAACGAATCCCAGTGATCAAGAGGAAGAAAAACTGAGAATCGACGTCCTGAGGCTGCTAAAAGAGCGAGCCAATGACAAGAATCTCCTCGCGGACCTACGAAGCTTCATAATGGACCGCGAGGTGGCGGGGAGCGAGGAAGACTCAGACCCGGAGCCCGAAGAACTGAATTCGGTGAGTGGATCGCCCCAGAACGACCCCACTACGGTCACCGAGCCCCACAGCCCCGCGCTAAATTCAAAACGGCGGCCATCTTTGACCACGTGGTCGGGCAAAATGGCCGACCCCCGCCCAATCAGAAGCCGGGATTCAAAATGGCCGGCGCGCGAAAAATATCCGACCCCAAGCGATGATGAAAACGACTGGGGCGAGGGGGCAGAGTCCGATTCGGGCCGCGGGGACCCCCCAACCGAACGGCAAGTCGACGAGGCCATGAGGACCCTCGCCGCCGCCTTCGGCCCGGGCCTCAAAGTCACAAGAAGGGATCCGGAAGGGCCCAAACGAAAGGGAAGGCGAGGAGAGGGGCACCGGAACGCCCACCCGAGGGTCGACGATGCCCACGCCAGCACACCAAGCCCCCTGCGCACCCCAAGGACACCGCGCCGCCGATCGCCCGGACCGCGCACCCCAGAACGCAGGGACTGGGCCAGCTACTTACTTTCGTCGCCGAGACCCCAGCACCGCCAGGATCGTCGCCCTGATGAAGCCGCTGCTGACCGCCACCATCCGGAGCGCACCTGGACCCCCAAGACCGAAGTCGAGGCCTACCCAGCCGATGGAGACCTCTACGCCGGAGCCGCGATGAACAGGTCCTTCCTCGACGACGGCAGGGCAGAAATGGACTTCGCGCATGCGCTCTTCCGCCTAGAAGAAGAAAAGAGAAAAAAATCGCAAAGCGGGACTTTTAAAATGCCGGCTAGCGTTCCCATGCCGTATTGCTGTTATAGGCACATAAGGAACCATGGACAGCAGCCAGCAGTAAGTAACTTTACAAATAATGCTGGGAACTTACCGAGTGACTTTCCTAAGTTGAGGATGGATGGGGGCAATATCCTAGAGTGGTCACAGCAGCTCCAGGTAGTGTTCCTAAAAGAAAATATGTCACATTTTATTAATGACCCCCCAGAGAAACCTTGGTCCTTGGAATTGGACTGTACGCACCATAGGGCTTTTTACCTTTTAATTGCAAGCATATCTCCCACGATCTATCACTGCATTGGTCATAATCTCACAGTATCTGAAATCATACAGAAAATGTTTGGGTTGTATTACAGTGAGAGTGTGTCCACCACTACCCAGATCTCCAAAGACTTCTTCTCTGCCAGACTAAAACCAGGGGCCCCCATAAGTGAGCACCTAGTGTCCTTAAGCGCTACCAGAGCAGAACTCCACCTTAGGGGGAGGTCATATCCGATCAGATCATGAAGAGTGTAATAATTAACTCTTTAGATCACTCATGGGACAGCTTCTTATCACACTTAGATACCATTAGCCTAGGCCTGCTATCCGTGGAAAAGCTGTCCAACAAACTCATAGCAGAAGACAATCTCAAGAGGAGGCGCTCTGGCCCCTCCACAGAGCATAAGAGCGAGAAAAGGGTAGTCTTCCAAGAGAAACAACACAACATATCAGAGTGTTATATCTGTGGATCAAGGGGGCATCTCAAGAGAGACTGCCCCAAGAACTACAGGGAGAGAGGCAGACCTGAACATAGGTTCAGGCAAACAGAGAGACGCACCTCTGAGGAGAGATACAGGCGCAGAGATTCACCCAACCCCAGGGATAGAAGAGGGAATAGAGACAGCTCACGTGACAGCAGAACGGGGTCATTATATGGGATAGGAGAACGCACTCACATAACACATCAGGGCAGAGACACCAATTCATGGCTCCTAGACTCTGGAGCCTCCAACCACACCACATACAACCAGAAAGAGAGAGAGAGAGAGAGACTGAAAGAGAGAGAGAGAGACCAAGAGAGAGAGAGAGAGAGACTGAGAGAGAGACTGAAAGAGAGAGAGAGAGAGAGAGAGAGGGAGGGAGGGAGGGGGAGAGAGAGAGACCAAGAGAGACAGAGACTGAAAGATAGACAGAGACTGAGAGACTGAGAGAGACCGAGAGAGACCGAGAGGGAGACTGAAAGAGAGAGAGAGAGAGAGAGAGAGAGAGAGAGAGAGAGAGAGAGAGGGAGGGAGGGAGGGAGGGAGGGAGGGAGGGAGGGAGAGAAAGAGAAAGACTGAGAGACTTAACTTTAAAAATTAAATATAAAGAAGACTCAAAATATTACAGGACATGGAATAAATTTTACAAATGGATAGAGACAAGAGGTAGAAATGAGAGGGAAGTTTATGAATGTCAGTACAACAAAGGTGTATAAAACTATGGATGTCATATAGAAAAATTTGTAAATAAGCTAATGTAAGTAGAAACTTAGTTGGAGTTTTCTTTTATTTCCTTTTCTTTTGTTTTTGGTTGTATTGTTGCAATTACTGTTAACATAGTACAGTTATAGTTATTAGCATGTATGTTAAATTTACTATTATTCTTCTCATCGTTCCTATCACCCATCTCCTCCCACTTATGACTGTATGACTGTAACCTTGTTGCTGGTATCCTTACGATTTATATTGACTGCTTCCTAGTATGATTTGATTGCTTATTTGTACCCTATGACTATCATTAAGTGTTGCGCCTTATGATTCTTGACGAATGTATCTTTTCTTTTATGTACTCCGAGAGTGTATGCACCAAGACAAATTCCTTGCGTGTCCAATCACACTTGGCCAATAAAGAATTCTATTCTATATTATCATTGATCTCTCTCTGGCTTTGCTTTATTTGCATTGTTATCCTGACATGGCACTGTCTTTTCAATAAAATAAAATTTAAAAAAGTTTGAACATCTGGCTGGCTGTGTAGTGAACCAAAATAATAATAAAATGGCAAATGCAGAAACTTTTAAATACACGAATAAGTCAAGTGATTGAATTATTAGCTTTGCTGTCAAGGGATTTTTCTTCTAGAGACAACGATAGTAAAAAAAAAAAAATTGTCCTTTACTTATGACCGTAATGGAGCCAGTCCATTCTGGTCATAACTCATGATTTAATTTAATTTTAATTTATCGAATTTCTATGCCGCCCAACTCCCAAAGGACTCTGATGGTTGTAAAACGGGTCAAACCCATGTGACCCACCCAATTTTGTAAGCTTTTTGCAGCAGTCATTAAGCGGATACCATGGTTATTAAGAGAACCTATCGGTGGTTTGCTATGGGCTGATTTTGCTAAGACCAGGAAGTAAATGCTACATTTTGGCAAAAATGTCATACAATATAGTTATGTGACCGTGAGATGTGCAAATGGGATATGTGTGGGCCAGTTGCCAAGTGACCAACATGCAGGGCGATGGTGATGCAAGGAGATGACCTTGCATCAAAGTGAGGGAAGGGTCAAACACACCATTAATTTGGAGTTGCTATGCTCCCACAAGAGAGCAAGGTCCAACTCTCCCTTGAATTTTGTTGACCCTCTAGCATCAATTTGCCTTGACCATTAATAGATCAGATTCTTGTGTATACAGTAGGTAGCAAGTAATAAACTTGCATTGCTTTCAACTCAACTCCTGCTCTTAGTTACTAGTGCCTGTCAGGTGGTGGCTGTTGGAACTTCAGATCCAGGCTGTAAGTACTCCCAGGGAAGTCCATCATAACTTCCAATGGTTGCTAAGCAACTAGTCAGAAGTCAAAGACAACCATGTAAACACATAGGGCAATAGAGTTAACCAAGATTCAGTACAAAGACTGACAGGTGCAAAGGATCAGGACTATTTGTTAAGTGGCAGTAGCACTTATGCTTATATACTTAAATGTATGATTTATTGGGTTAGGGATTTTCTGTTTCCACTGTGAGTTATATTGTGTTGGGTGTGTGTGTGCACTGAGGGAGCTCCACCAATCTCATTGTACATATGTTGTGCAGTGTCAATAAACGTTGTTATTGTTGTTGTTGTTGTTGTTGTTATTATTATTATTATTATTATTATTATTATTATTACTACTACTACTACTACTACTACTACTACTACTACTACTACTATACAAAAATACTCTACTCTGCTCTACTCCTATTCTGTTCTGTTCTGTTCTGTTCTGCTCTGCTCTGCTCTGCTCTGCTCCTGTTCTATTCTATTCTAATTCTATTCTATTCTATTCTATTCTATTCTATTCTATTATTATTCTATTCTATTCTATTCTACTCTACTCCTATTCTATGTTCTGTGCTATTCTATTCTATTCTATTCTATTCTACTCTACTCTACTCTACTCTACTCTACTCTGTTCTCAAATCAACTAAATGGACTTCAACAAATCATATGCCCAGTGACACGCCTTTGTGTGAAAAGCTGGGGCACCCTAATCTCAGGAGGAATGCTGTTTCGGATGACTGTCTTCATATTCCAAACTCTTTTGTATTTTGTATTATTGTATTTATTGTCCACTTTGCTTTCTGCGCCGCGTGTGTAAAATACTTCTGAGCAGCGCAGATCAAACTCCTGCCAGCCCCGCTTTCTTCCTCGCCTTCCATTCGCTCGTTCGACGCTGGGGCTCCGCCTTCCGCTCCGCTTGAGCCCCGCCGCTCGCCGTCGCCCCGTTGCCATGGCTACGTAAGCGGCGCGGCCTACTTTCGCCGCGAAGCCTGGGGGAGACGTTTACCCGACGAACCGAATCGGCCGACGGGGTTGTTGCAGCAAGCCGTTATGTCTTTCCGCGATCTCCGGAGTGAGTCGAACGGGTCCGGGGGGCGGGTGGGACGGCCCGATGCAGAGAGTCCCAAGCGAGCCTTAATCACCCGAACGGGGCGCCCCGCACCCCATTACCAAAGAGCTCAGGGCAGCGAATGTGACACACACACACACACATCCCACCCCGCTTTGATCCATACAACAACCTTGGCAGGTAGGAGTCCCGGGAGGACTAAGAATAGATGGCCTGCAAGAATCATCCCGACCACAGAGGGCAGCAAAGAGGCGGGAGGCAAATCCCGGCTCGCTGCTGCCATCTAGAGGCCGCCTACAGCCATCCAAACTAACAAAAGCTATTTTTCCCTGGAAGCTTTAAAATGATGTGGAGTCCCATCGTCCCCAGCCAGCATGGTGTGTGTGTGAATCTGTCAAGGGTAAATGCCTTAACTGTGCCAGGGGTCAGCTATAGTGCAGCAGTGCAGGGGTTAATCCAAACTCCCACCTGTCCAGCTCCTCCCACTAACCCCTCCTTATCTAAGTCTCCGCCTTCTGGCATAAAAGGTGGGCACGCTCCTCCTCGCTCTTCAGATCCAGATGTTGCAAGTGTTGTTGAGATGATCCTGTGAATAAAAGAGATTTAATTAATCTACTGACTCATGTCTTGCTGTTGGGCCTGATCCATGAATCCTTGTAACAGAATCTGTGTGGATGTGTGTGTGTGAGAGAGAGATGGAGAGGGAGGGAGGCAGAGAGAGAGAGAGACAGAGAGAAACAGAGAGAGAGAGACAGAGACTGAAAGAGAGACCGAGGGAGGGAGAGACAGAGTGAGAGAGAGAGAGAAAGAGACTGAAAGAGAGAGAGAAAGAGAGAGACTGAAAGGGAGACAGAGAGAGAGGGAGGGAGGGAGGGGGAGAGAGAGACACACACACACAGAGAGAGAGAGACTGAAAGAGAGAGAGACACACAGAGAGAGAGACTGAAAGAGAGAGAGAGAGACTGAGGGAGGGAGGGAGAGAGAGAGAGATCAAGAGAGAGAGACTGAAAGAGAGAGAGACTGAAAGAGAGACCGAGAGAGAGAGAGACTGAAAGAGAGACCGAGAGAGAGAAAGGGAGGGAGAGAGAGAGAGACTGAAAGAGAAAGACTGAGAGATTGAGAAAGAGAGAGAGACTGAAAGAGAGAGAGAGACTGAAAGAGAGATTGAGAGAAAGAGAGAGGGAAGGAGGGAGAGAGAGAGACTGAAAGAGAGACCGAGAGAAAAAGAGAGAGAGGGAAGGAGAGAGAGAGAGACGAAGAGACTGAAAGAGAGAGAGAGAGAGACTGAAAGAGAGACTGAGAGAGAGAGAGAGATTAACACACGAGAAGGGCATCAGATTAGGAGAAACCGCTCAGTTCCTAAATTAAAATAATGCTAATGCCAATAACTGTGTTTAACTTGTATGCCACCCAACTCTCAGCAGTGAAAACGATGAAAAGTGGGGCTCCTCCCGATCTCTACTTTCTACTGCTTTATTGCTTTCTCCTAGGTTTAATTGTCAGCACACACACACACACACACACACACGATGTCATTGGGAGCCTCTCAATTTAATAAAATTGTGATAAAGGATGTGTAGGGTGCCTTTTGGCCTCTGGTACCCTTTTGGCCTCCCTCTAAGGACCCATGTGATGAAAAGCTGTTGAGTCAGGAAAAAAAACTGACTCCCCTGGATTTTAGTTCAGGTCTGAAAATTTTATCTAATTGAAGAAGCGAGTCAGTCTGTCTTCCTGTATTAGAGGCCAAAGAAGAGGAGACTCTCATTTTGGGGGATGGGGGTTTCTTGGGATGCAATGATCAGATCAATGCTGGTGCCACATGAAGCTAATATGTTGAAGGTTGGACATATTTCACACAATATGTTTACCCAGGTTAAATAAAGAATAGAATAGAATAGAATAGGAATAGGAATAGGAATAGGAATAGGAATAGGAATAGGAATGGAATGGAATGGAATGGAATGGAATGGAATGGAATGGAATGGAATGGAAGAATGAAAGAAAGAAAGAAAGAAAGAAAGAAAGAAAGAAAGAAAGAAAGAAAGAAAGAAAGAAAGAAAGAAAGAAAGAAGAAAGAAAGAAGAAAAGAAAGAAAGAAAGAAAGAAAGAAAGGAAGAAAGGAAGAAGAGAAGAGAATGAGAGAAGAGAAGAGAAGAGAAGAGAAGAGAAGAGAAGAGAAGAGAAAGCAAGAGCAAGAGCAGGAGCAGAGCAATAGACTAATATAGAGTATAGAATATAGAGTATAGAATTGAATGTAGAGTAGAGTGGAGTGGAGTGGAGTGGAGTGGAGTAGGGTAGGGTAGGGTAGGGTAAGGTAGGGTAGAGTAGAGTAGAGTAGAGTAGAGTAGAGTAGAGTAGAGTAGAGTAGAGTAGAGTAGAGTAGAGTAGAATAGAGTACTTCCAGTGGTGGAGCACCCACAACCTCTGGAGGCAAGTTGTTCCACTGATTAATTGTTCTAAACTGTCAGGAAATTCCTTCTTAGTTCTTGGTTCTCCTTAGTTCTCTCCTTGATTAGTTTCCATCCATTGCTGCTTCTTCTGCCCTCAGGTGCTTTGGAGAATAGCTTGACTCCCTCTTCCTTATGGCAGCCCCTGAGATATTGGAACACTGCTATTATGTCTCCCCTAGTCCTTCTTTTCACTAGACTGGACATACCCGATTCCTGAAAATATTTTCGTATGTTTTAGCCTCCAGCCCCCTAATCCGCTTTGTTGCTCTTCTCTGCACTCTTTCTAGAGTCTCAACATCTTTTTTTACATTGTGGCGACCAAACAACAACAAAAAAAGACTATAAATTAATTGAATAAAAAATAAACTGCAGAAAAAGTAGCGGATTGAAGTTAAAACAGGGTCTCAATAAAGAACAAAGTTGGATTGGTTTAGTTTTGTACATGTAGTCCTCGACTTAAGACCACAATGGAGCCCAACATTTATGTGGCTAAATGAACCATTGCATTTGTAAAGTTAGTAATAGGGTTGTTAAGTGAATCTGGATTCTCCATTGACTTTGCTTGTCAGAAGGGTGCAGAAATGGATCACATGAGCCCAGGATTTGCTTAAGGACTGGATGATTCACTTAACAACTGCGGTGATTCGCTTAAGAATCATGGCAAAAACAGGTGCAGATCACCAGAACAGCCTTCTTTAGAAACGGAAATTCTGGTCCCAATTTCCATTGCAAGCCGAGGACTACCTATATATGGGAGTAGATCTCTAAAAGTACCCTTAATACAGTGTTTCTCAACCTTGGTAGCTTGAAGTCCCCCCATCTTCAAGCTTCCAAGGTTGAGAAACACTGCCTTAATAGTTTATGACCCATATTTTAAGACAACGTAAAGAAAAGCTGACATAATTCTGCTTTTTATAAATAGGCAAATACTGCCAACAACCCATCGCGATATCTTATTTTTCATACTCATGGTACTAATGCTGAAGCTTATGACTAATTCTGAGTCACCTTTTCTGACAAACTCTACTTATCTGCTGTTTTCTGCACTTCGTTTTCATTTGTTGGCAGGCCACGCGTTCAAAGCGTAGCACACAAAATGATTTCTGCTGCGAAACCTCTGCCGCTGCCCTCGTCTAGTGTCTTGTGCTCTCCCTGGGGAAGAATTCCTTTACAAGTTCATTGCCTTCAGTTCTGTCTTCCCAGAGGTCGCATAACTACACTAACCCATAATTGTGATTTCTTTCCTTTTTGCCTTTACTGCTTGTTGCTTGTTTCCAGTTTTGGTTATTTGTAAACCACGGTTAGTGAATTCATGTTCTGGTTTGTCATTTTATTCAAGAAACCCAAGATCTGGAATGATGCATTAAAACCCAGCCACCAAATCAGGGATTTTTTTTTGGATGGACAGCCCAAGAATGTCCTTTCTTTTCACAGAAGAAAAAGATGTGGTTGTTGCAATGACCGATATTAAGCCTAGCATTAAATCTTACCCCATCAATTTTGCTGGTGAATTCCTGTTTGTCCACTGCAAGCCACTGTAGCCTGTCTTGAATAGGCAGTCAATAACTTGATTGTTTACCACCTATATTACCGAAGTGCGGTGGCTTATGTGGAAGTCCGCGTTTGAGACCCAAGTGCTGCTGTGTGGGAGAATGAGCTCCCGTCTTTCGCTCTAGCTCAGTGATGGCTAACCTTTTTGCCATCACGTGCCAGGAAGGGGGGCGGGGCAGGGGCGGGTCGCGCGCGCACGTGCCCACGTGCATGCGTGCGCAACCCCCTCCCCCCTCCCCCCCCGCTCGTGGCACATGATGGCCTGGTAGGCCCTCTTTCAGGAAGTGACATTTTTTGCTGTCCCCAGCCTCTAGAACCTCTCTAGGAGTCTCTAGGAGCCTCTCTCTCTAGGAGCCTCTCTAGGAGTCTCTGGAGGCTGGGGACAGGAAAAAACGTCACTTCCTGTCCCACCGGGAGTCGGGAAATGGGCCCTTTCAGCCTCCGTAGGGCCTCCAAGGGAGTGGGAAAGGCTGTTTTCGCCCTTCCCAGATACACAGAGAGGATCTGGAGCCAGGTAAGAAAGAAAAACGGGCCTTTCCCACCCCGCCCACAAAACAGGAGCGTGCGGGGGGGAGTGCCAGAACCGGAAAAGCAGCTCTCCGCCGTGCATGCGCGTGCCGGAAACCAGAAACTCAGCTTCCTTGCGCATGTATGTATGCCCCTACCTGGACCGTGATGCCCTACGCACAGTCACTCATGCGCTCGTCATCTCCCGGATCGACTACTGCAATGTTCTCTACATGGGGCTGCCCCTGAAGACCACTCGGAGGCTTCAGCTGGTGCAGAATGCGGCCGCGCGGGTAGTGATGGGAGTGTCCCGACACTCTCATGTTACACCCCTCCTGCGGGATCTGCATTGGCTACCAGTTGCCCTCTGGGTGAGATTCAAGGTGCTGGTAATCACCTATAAAGCCCTACATGGCTTAGGCCTGGGGTATTTGGCGGACCATCTGCGGCCAGCGACAGCTCCCCATCGCCCGGTGCGTTCCCACAGGGAGGGCCTCCTTGGGGTGCCGTCGGCCAGACGATGTCCCTAGGGAGCGGGCCTTCTCTGTGGGCGCACCTACCCTGTGGAATCAGCTCCCCCTGGGGCTCCAGGTGGCCCTTGACCTTCGCTCTTTCCACCGTGGCCTTAAAACATGGTTATTTTGCCTGGCCAGCTTGGACTGAAGGGGTTTTAGAGGGGATTTTAATGGTTTTTATAGTTTTATTGGGTATTTTTTTTTTAAAAAAAATTGAACTTTGTGTGTTTTATTGTTGTGAGCTGCCCTGAGTCCTTTCGGAGATAGGGCGGCATATAAGTCCAAATAATAAATAATAAATAAATAAATGTATGTGCACCAAGGAGCTGCTTTTTCAGTTTCCGGCACTCCCGCGCATGCAAAGACCAACTGCCTGGAACCTGGAAGAGCAACTGGGAACAGCTGGTGTGCCCAGAGAGATGGCTCTGTGCACCACTTCCGGCATGCGTGCCATAGGTTCATCATCATGGCCCTAGGAGATAAGGCTTCATGTATCTTGGAGGAGCTCAAATTTATGTCACTTGCAACTATACATTGATTCCAAACTAGGCCCTCACTTGATCCCTTCTTCCAACCTAGCTGGCAGTTTCCAAGCATTTTTAGAGAATTTCCGTGAATTTATTTATAGGGTTGTAGTCCATCTTTTTGTGTACAGATAGTCCTTGACTTACAACCATTCGTCCAGTGACCGTTCGAAGTTACGACGACGCTGAAAAAAGTGACCTGGTGCATCCCCATGGTCCCATGATCAAAATGTGGATGGTTGGTAACTGGCTCATATTTATGACGATGGCAGCGTCCTGGGGTCACGTTATCGCAACCTCCTGACCGGGGTGGGTTCTACTTACCTTTACTACCGGTTTGCAATGGGGCTGTGCGCGCAAGCGAACATGGGTCAGGGTCAGTGGGCGGAGCCTCCCGCTGGTTTTACTACCGGTTCTATAGAACCGGTGCGAATCGGGGGCAACCCACCACTGCTCCTGACAAGCAAAATCATGGGGAAGTCAGATTCGTTTAACCGCTGTGTTACTAATTTACAAATTGAAAGTGATTCACTTAACAACTCTGGCAAGAAAGGACGTAAATGGGGGCAAACCTCACTTAACCAACAGTCTTGCTTTGCAATGGAAATTTGGGGCTCAATTGTGGTCGTAAATCAAGGACTGTCTGTACTCTTCATGAATATCTCTTAGTAGCAGAATATCGAGTGCAATTTTCCCATTCCAGCATGGAAGAAAATTAAGATGTAATGTACTTGAATTTATTAAAGGTTTCCTATTTATTTTTTGCCCAAAAGATTTTACTGAGATGATGAGGGCTCTGGGCTATCCCCGGCTTATCTCCATGGAGAATTTTCGGACTCCAAATTTCATGCTGGTTTCAGAAATACTCCTTTGGCTGGTGAAAAGGTTGGTACTTAGCTTTAATTTGAAAATAAATATCAGCAACTGCACACACCGTTCTTGTGAAATGCTTGGAGCTTTCTAAAAGAGTTTAAAATTGAAGTTGAAGTATTCTGGAAGATGTCCAGTTGAAAAAAATAAATAAAAGGTTGCAACCAAAATATATTCAAAGCTTTAAAAAATATTGACGCTTGATTGTCAGTTTATACCATGTGTGTTGTTTCTCTGTGGAAGTTCAAACATATTTTTTTAAGATTAAAATATCTTTCCTTAGTTTGTTTTGCATTTGAAATTAAACATCAGAGGAATTTTCTTCTAATGAATTAAAAAGACTGGTAAGATATATGGGGTTGGAGACAAAAAGCGGAGTTAAGATTTGTTGTGTATTTTGTAAACAACATTTTGGTGATACACAACCTAAAATTCCTGGGTTATCTGTAGTTTCAAACTTCAAGGTTTCGGGATAGGCCAGAGGTCCTGCAAAAATTGCTATTTCAATTGTAGTTTGCAGCAGGACAGAAGATGGAAACTATTAAATTCACAGGAAGCAATTACATTAAACTAAATTAGATTAAATTGAAATTCAGTTACCGGTAAGTTTATTTTTGGGACTGGCCTTGCCCAGTTCTCATCCCATGTTCTTTTTGTGTGTGACACCCATCACACCATGAGCCCTGGTGGTGCAGTGGTTAAAAATGCAGTATTACAGGCTAACTCTGCTTACAGTCTGGAGTTCCATCCTGACCGGCTCAAAGTTGACTCAGCCTTCCATCCTTCCAAGGTTGGTAAAATGAGGATCCAGATTGTTAGGGGCGAATAGACTGACTCTGTAAACCATTTAGAGCAGGGGTCTGCAACCTTAAATACTCGAAGAGCCATTTGGACCCGTTTCCCACAGAAAAGAAAACACCGGGAGCCACACAACCTGGGTGGGCGTGGCCAACTCGATGACATCACTTCCACCAGTCACATGACACCCCCCCCTAGCCGCGCCTACCCAGCTGGTCATTAGGGCAGAGAACCAGTTGTTAAAAAACACCGGGAACCACAAAATCCTTTTGACACATCTCTCTCTCCCCTCCCTCTCTCCCTCTTTCTCTCTCCCTCTCTCTGAATCTCTCTGCCTCTGCCCTGGCCATTTCTCCATCCCCCGCCATCACCCTTACCTTCTCAGGCCAGGCGAGGAGTGACTGGGAGAGGAGGGCCAGCCAGTGGTGGGATCACCTGGCAGGGAGCCATAGTAGAGCCACATGCGGCTCCGGAGCCTCAGGTTGCTGACCCCTGGTTTAGAGAGAGAGAGCTGTAAAGCACTGTGAAGTGCTATATAAGTCTAAGTGCTATTGCTATCACACCACTCAAAATCCAGAGGCAGTCCTTAGCCCATAAAAAGTTATATGCTTCTGCCTTGAAGATTAGGCAAAATAGATTACTGTGATTCAGTTTGGGAATTGTTCCAGTAAGAACTCAAAAAATATGTCAAAAGAATTAGCTTTCTTTTAGAGAGACCTGTCATTTTCTTTGAAGAGCAGAGACAGCTTTATGCCTTATTCAGTTCTGAGTTTAAAATAGTCTTCAGGTGACTGTTTCCTCCTCCTCTCTGCAGTGAGATTAAAGGTTAGCATGAAAGTCTGTAAAGTTGTCTCAAGTACAGCTAGCCCTTGACTTATGGCCACAGTAGGGATTCATGCCTTATTTTACAACCTTTTTTGCCATGGTTTTAACAGAACAGAACAGAACAGAACAGAACAGAACAGAACAGAACAGAATAGAATAGAATAGAATTCTTTATTGGTCAACTGTGATTGGACACACAAGGAATTTGTCTTTGGTGCATACGCTCTCAGTGTACATAAAAAGACAAGATACGTTCATCAAGAATCATAAGGTACAACACATAATGATAGTCATAGGGTACACATAAGCAATCAAATCATACTAGGAAACAATCAATATCAATATAAATCTTAAGGATACCAGCAACAAAGTTACAGTCATGCAGTCATAAGTGGGAGGAGATGGGTGATAGGAACGATGAGATTAATAGTAATGCAGACTTAATGAATCACTTCAGTGTTGAGGGAATTATTTGTTTAGCAGAGTGATGGCGTTCAGGAAAAAACTGTCCTGGTGTCTAGTTGTTCTGGTGTGCAGTGCTCTATAGTGTTGTTTTGAGGGTAGGAGTTGAAACAGTTTATGTCCAGGATGTGAGGGGTCTGTAAATATTTTCCCAGCCCTCTTTTTGATCCGTGCAGTATACAGGTCCTCAATGGAAGGCAGGTTGGTAGCCATTGTTTTTTCTGCAGTTCTAACTATCCTCTGAAGTCTGTCTCTCTCTCTCTCTCTTTTTTTTATTGAAAAAGTTTTTCAAATACAAATTTTTCCCCCTTCCCTCCCTAACCCTCCCTTACCCTCCCCTCCCCCCATGGCTTCTCCAGTATGAAATCCAAATCGAAATCCCATTATATAATACTTTATCACCCATTTACACCACCCCCTATGTACTATATATTTCTTCCTAACATTCTGTCATTGCATCCCCTATATGCTATACATTTCTAGACAATATTCAGCTATGAAACTATCTAGTAGATCCTGATTTAATATTTATTCATAAATATTAAGTCTGTGTCTCTCTTGTTGGGTTGCAGAACTAAGTGCAGAATTAAGGGAATCACTTGGTCGTTATGCAAATCCAGCTACCCCGGTTGATTTTGCTCGTTGGAAGCCAGCTGGGAAAGTTGCAAATGGAGATCATGCGACATCACCCCCCCCTCCCCAAGACGCTGCAACTGTCATAAATATATGCACCGAACTGCAAGCCATTTTGAACAGCTCAGAGTCACCTGAACCGTGAGATGGGCGGCAAATAAATTTGATAAATAAACACCTGTAACATAAAGGAATGTAAACATTTCAGTTCAGATAAATGCAAAGGAGATGCTGGGGCACCAGCTTCATTCTACATCTGTTTCCTTTTGCAGATGCTTGTTTCTTTTTTTTTTTCTCTTGAACAATTTCATTAGTTTATAATATAGTCATAGCACTTAGACTTATATACCGCTTCACAGTGCTTTGCAGCCCTCTCTAAGCGATTTTTACAGAGTCAGCCTCTTGCTCCCAACAATCTGGGTCCTCATTTTACCCACCTCGGAAGGATGGAAGGCTGAGTCAACTTTGAGCTGGTCAGGATTGAACTCTTGGCAGTCGGCAGAATTAGCCTGCAATACTGCATTCTACCACTGGCAGGGAGGGAGGGACGGAGGGAGGGAGGGAGGGAGGAAAGGAAGGAAGGAAGGAAGGAAGGAAGGAAGGAAGGAAGGAAGGAAGGAAGGAAGGAAGGAAGGAAGGAAGAGCAGCTCTCTTTTACCCACCTCAGAAGGATGGAAGGCTGATCGTCAGAGGCATTTAAAAGAAAAAAAGCCTCTGCCGATCAGGCAACTCAGCTGGGATCATCAGAGCCTTTTGAAAGCAATCTTGAGCTGGTCAGGATCGAACTCTTGAACAGTGACTTAGCCTGCAGTACTGCATTCTAACCACTGCGCCGCCATGGCTCTTATATATAGCATACAAAGAAAATACAAAACTAAATAGTAGGGAAGTTAGGGAAGGGAGAAGAGAAAAATGGGGGAAGCAAGGGGAAAACAGAAAAAAAAAAAGGCATTGACTTCTGACTCCCTTTGGTGCAGTAGAATAAAGCACTAACATCAAACCTCAACTTTTTACTTTTACATAATGTTATAAACTAGCCATTTCTGTAACAACAAATCTATCTAAAACCCAAAGTGCTTAATTCTGTGTCTATTTCCTTTTGCAGATACGAGCCTCAGACTGATATCCCTTCTGATGTTGAAACAGAGCAGGACCGGGTTTTTTTCATTAAGGCTGTTGCTCAGTTTATGGTGAGTTTATTTATTTAATGTCCCTGAAGGATCAAATACAAAATATGAAATTCAGTACCAGAGTGCTCTCCAGTTAATTTTTGAATGAAAACACTTCAGGTACACACATACACAAATAGAATGATCACACTTTTTTATTCTTGTGTATATTTGTTGTTTTTTAACAGTCGCGTGGTCGATTGTCGTTGTGAACCACCCTGAGTCCTCGGAGATAAGGCGGCATACAAATTTTATAAATAAATAAATAAAATAAATAAAAATAGATCCAGGTTGCATTGTGGATCTGCAAGAGCTTTAGAAAGAGCAGGATCCTTTTAAAACAAGTAATCCCATTAACAAAAGTGCTGCAGCCTTTGCAAAAAAAAAAAAAAGGCCACATGGTATGGGCAAAACTGATGTGCCAATTAACTGAAGAACTGATCAACTGTAAATTTCACCCCTGGTGAACTAAAGCAATAAAATTCCTGTGCAGAATTTCTCTTTTGGTTAATTAGGAACTGGCTGGGGCGTTTGCTACGCTCGGATGAATCACTGCTCAAGCATTCTTTTTCTTCCCTGTGTTAGAATTATAGGATCTCGCTGAAAGTACTTCGGTTTTGGGCTAAAACATATTTGATGTATTGTTAGGATATAGGACTGGAATCAGAGAAGCTGGATTCAGCCACGGAGACATCGCCCATGTCTTTGGGTCAATTATGATTTCAGGTCAACCTATCTGACAGGTTGGCTCATGCAGGAATAACATCAGAGAAAACGTTGCCATGGATGCTACCTCAAATTGTCTGGAGAAAAGACAAATAAACATAACACAGAAATACATCGAATAAAAATTGGCTCTTGCAAAAAAAAACAAAAAAAAATTGAAAGCAGGCTATAGATCCCAGCAATTGTGGCACCTAGTCAGAAGGCACGTAGGTCATAGAAGAACAGAGTTGGAAGGGAGGTCTTCTTGTCCTACCCCTTGGCCATGCAGGAGACCCTAGACCAGGGATGTCAAACTCGATTTCATTGAGGGCTGCATCAGGGTTGCGTTTGACTTTGGGGGGCCGGGGTAGGCGTGGCCAGCTTGACGTCACTCGTGTCGGGGGTGCCTGTAGTGGCCAGAGCGCTCTGCCAGTGAAAATGGGCTCCCGAGTTCCATTTTCAGCTGCAACGGCTTCCTGCAGCCCTCCACCAGTGAAAACGGAGCTCGGGAGGGCCTCACACAGCCCTCCTGAGCTCCATTTCCGCTAGCAGAGGCACTGCGGGCCAGTCCTTTGCTGTTTCCAGAATGGCCCTGTGGGCCAGATCTAAGCATCCCACAGGCCGGATCCAGCCCGGGGCCTTGAGTTGACCCCCCTGCCCTATATCATTCCGGACAAATGACCATCCAGTCTCTCCTTGAAAACTTCCAGTGATGGAGCATCTGCAATGACCTATTTTAATTTCCTGAGTTGGAAATCATTTGGGAATTCTCTATAAATAGCTATGACCCACTTCATCCTCAGATAGAAACATACATGGAGAGAGGGGGATGAGCATTCATTTCTTGTTCCAACAGGCCACCAAAGCTCACATAAAACTCAACACCAAGAAGCTTTACCAAGCCGATGGCTATGCTGTGAAGGAGCTGCTGAAGATCACCACGGTGCTTTACAACGCCATGAAGAGCAAGGGGATGGAAACCACAGCTATGGGCGAAGAAGACGTCGGCAAATTCAAATTTGATCTGGGTTCCAGAGTAAGGAACTTTGAATTTCTTCTTTTATGCGCTGAGTCTCACCTTTCCTCTTGAGGCTTAAAGCATCAGTTAAGTGATACGTAAGTTCCTTTAAGGGACATGGTGGCTCAGTGGCTAAGATGCTGAACTTATCGATCGAAAGGTCAGCAGTTCAGCGGTTCGAATCCCTAGTGCCGCGTAACGGGGTGAGCTCCCGTTACTTGTCCCAGCTTCTGCCAACCTAGCAGTTCGAAAGCAGGTAAAAAATACAAGTAGAGAAATAGGGACTGCCTTTGATGGGAAGGGAACGGCGTTCCATGCGCCTTTGGCATTGAATCATGCCGGCTACATTATCACAGAGATGTCTTCGGACAGCGCTGGCTCTTCGGCTTTGAAACAGAGATGAGCACCGCCCCCTAGAGTGAGGAACGACTAGCACATACCTTATTTTCTGGAGTATAAGACGCTCTGGACTATAAGACGCACCTACCTTTTTTGGTGAGGAAAACAAGAAAAAGAAATCTGCCTCTGCCTCCCAGCAATTTTACCTCGTTGCAGCAAACAGCAAACAACATGCTTTACTTTCATTTTCGTTTTCAGCATAGCTTAATTAGCACAAGGGAAAAAAATCCCTGCTCCCAGCAATTTACCTCCTTGCAGCAAGCAGCAGAGACCCGAGCAAAACCGCTGAGAGCAAAACAGCTGAGAGTCGGGAGGCCGATCCAATCAACTTGTGCTAATTAGGCTGTGCTGACGCTGAAACGAGCTGTTTCTTCTTGCTGCTTGCTGCAAAGATGTAAATTGCTGGGAGGCAATAGGCCAAAGGGTGGGGGCCAGTGGTGGGGCAGGGCTACATTCGGTGTATAAGATTCACCTAAATTTTCACCCCCTTTTAGGGAGGAAAAAGATGCGTCTTATACTCTGAAAAATACGGTATGTGCGATGGGAACCTTTACCTTTATGTTGACCTCCTCAAGAAGAAAGTGACCAGGTTGATGGAAACATCTGGGAAAGTTATGAGAATTGGCCTTAATGTATGCAAGCATTCTTTCCCCATTGAGAAAGCCAATTGTGTTTTCTGCGAATGGTATGATGTAGACCAAATAGCATCTATGGTGACTTTCGGTAAGAAGGTGATGTGGTCCTTCTCCCATCCCCTCAATCCAGACCAAGAGCACATTCCAGCTTGGAATTTCGTGCAGCTCCTTTTCCTTCAAAATCGAAAAGGTCTGTGAGAGTAACGTAATGCCCAGCTTTAAAGCTCACCAACTCACAAAACAAATAAATTATTCAGATCCATTGAAGCCCGTGCACAAATGATTACGGTTATTAATCTGCTTGGAGAACAGGCACTTCCAAACAGACTCTCATCTCAGTATACGGCTTTAGTTAGAAGCCATTCCCTCTCCACTCCTCCCTGCTAACCCCTTTTGGAATGGTAAACTCTGATTTGTCCAAATGTCCGTTTAGATCAGCGACTTGAAGACAGCCAGGCACCTCGCTTCAGAAATCACTTTGAAAGGAGCGTCTCTGTATGATTTGTTGGGCAAAGAAGTGATGCTGAGGGTAAGTCGACAAAGAAACATTTCAACGGTCCCTTACTTGCACCCAAAAACGGGTTTTCTATTTTTAATATTTCTAGGCACGGGATGCCCAAAATGCGGCTACTTTTCAGTAATCAAATCTGTGAATATCAATTCTCCTTAATTGTTGTCCCAAAGGTGCTTTTTCCAAAAGGTCTTTTGGGTTATCTTGGTGTTTTCCTTTGAAAATGTTTCGCTTCCCATCCAGGAAGCTTCTTCAATTCTTCAGGAAGACTAGAGGTGACATGATAGCAGTGTTCCAATATTTAAGAGGCTGCCACAAACCTACTTTGAACCTATTTTCCAAAGCACCAGAAGGCGGGACAAGAAGTAATGGATGGAAACTCATCAAGGAGAGAAGCAACCTAGAACTAAAGAGAAATTTCCCGACAGTGAAAACCAGTGGAACAACTTGCTTCCAGAAGTTGTGAATGCTCCAATCCTGGAGGTTTTTAAGGAAGAGATTGGACAACCATCTCTCTGAAATGGTATACAACAGGGTCAGCAACCTGCAGCTCTGGAGCCGCATGTGTCTCTTTCATCCCTCTGCTGCGGCTCCCTGTCGCTGGTTGGCTCCACAATTGATAGGGCTTTCGGTTAAGACAGGTCGAGGAAAAAGCTGTGCTGGGAGGAGACTCTATGGTGGGGGGGGGGGGGGACGGGACAGACTTCCGGTCAGCAGAGGAAAAAGGATGTTGTGCTAGGAGGAGACTCTATGGTGGGGGGAACAGACTTGCGGTCAGCAGAGGAAAAAGGATGCCGCTCTAGGAGTGGACACTATGGTGGGGGGAACTGGACTTCCGGTCGGCTCCAGAATTGAACGGGGGGCTTCCAGTTAGCACCTTTGTGGCTCTTTAAGTGTTTAAGGTTGCCGACCCCTGGTATAGAGTTTCCTGCTTAAGCTGGGGGTTGGACTAGAAGACCTCCAAGGTCCCTTCCAACTCTGTTATTCTGTTAAAGAAAAAGAACCAAGAAAATCCAGCTGCCTTTTGGAAAGAGCACCTTTGGGACTACCATGACCTGGATGATTGAGACTCTCCATAGACTCTCCTTATTGTTGTGTTGCTGTCCACCTTTTTAGCTCTGTCCATTTTCAAGCAACACGGGTTCCCTTTTGCCCCTCCTAAATTTCAACCTTTTCAATCATGCACTGAACAGCAGAGATGTACAGGCTGGGGAATTCTGGGGGGTTTGTACTCCACACATCTTAAAACCTGGCAAGGCTGAGAAACCTTTGCTCTGGTGCAGTGGTGAAATGTAAATTTTTTTTTTTGCTACCGGTTCTGTGGGCGTGGCTTGGTGGGGAGATCATGTGACTGGGTGGGCGTGGTTTTTTTTTTTTTTTTTTTAAAGCATTTTTACTACCTACATTTTGTTTTAAAGCATTTTTGCCCGGTAGTAAAAAAATGCTTTAAAAAAGTAAAAAAAAGGTTCCGATGATCGCGCGGCACAGCTGTGATCGTCGGAACCATTTTTTTAACTTTTTAAAGCATTTTTATCACTACCGGTTTGCCCGAACCGGAGTGAACCGGTAGCATTTCACCGCTCTGCTCTGGTGGGAGAAGATCTTTTTCTGTCTCAAGAAAACCAGCTGTTCCTTCTGCCTCATTAGGGGTCAACAGGACCTGTTCTTTTCCTAACGATCAGTGGTCCCCCCCCCTTCCTTCCTTCTGCGTTCTGGGCAATTAATTAAAATGAAGACGTGGAACTCCTACCAAGGCAGGGATGTTCAAGCAAAGTTATTATTGCTCTCTGCTGAGCTGCTGTTACTGATCTAGTCTTCAGCAGCCTTAGGCATGGTTATATTAGCAAAAATCCATGTGGAATGAATCTTGGGGATAATCCTGTAAATATTAAAGACTTCCAACACACTCCTGTCTCATCACCCTTGTCAGGCAAGTCAGGAGGAGTTTTCCTACACTTTGCATTTCCTTGAGGAATAAATAATTTTCTTTATCTGCTGTGGGGGGAGGGGAATAAATGATGTAGTTGGGGATATTTCTCATTTTATATGCAATCAACCTTGTCTTTCATCGACGCTCTCGATCATTAAAGTCTGGGGCTCTTATTTTTGTCTCCATCAGAGCCTTTGCCTGTTGAATTGATTTCCCGCAACAAGAGACATTATGGAATAATCATGTCGTTAAATTGTCATTTTTCATCTGAGGCAGCGCAAGGGTAGAATGTTTAATGCCTAGGTTTCAGATGTTTTGAAATCCACGGAGAAGAGTTTGTGGGGCGTCTGTGGCAGGTTTTACACCAAGGTTTGATTGATTCTCGGAAGACCTTACAATGGTGGGATCACTTGACAGGAGGCTACAGCAGAGGGCCCAAAGAGCTGAATGTGGCTCCGGAGTCACAGGTTGCTAACCCCTGGCCTTGAGGGTTTGGCTTTAAAGTAATATGAAGTCTTTGGATCTAGAAGTTCTGTTTGGTTCTCAGGCTAGTCATTCATTATGGGCTTAGGGTAGACTTGCATGGTTTGGAACTATTAGGGGACTGGAGGCTAAAACATATGAAGAACGTTTGCAGGAACTGGGTATGTCTAGTTTAATGAAAAGAAGGACTAGGGGAGACATGAAAGCAGCCTTCCAACATGTCAGAGGCTGCCCCAAAGAAGAGGGAGTCATACTATTCTCCAGAGCACCTGAGGGCAGGACAAGAAGCAATGGGGGAAAACTAATCAAGGAGAGAAACAATCTAGAACTAAGGAGAAATTTCCTGACAGTGGGAACAATTAATCGGTGGAACAATTTGCCTCTAGAAGTTGTGAATGCTCCAACACTGGAAGTTTTTAAGAAGAGGTTGGATAATCATTTGTCTGAAGTGGTGTAGGGTTTCCTGCCTGGGCAGGGGGTTGGACTAGAAGACCTCCAAGGTCCCTTCCAACTGTTATTCTTAACCAGTAAATTCTAAAGGATGAGAGTTAACACTTGGGGCATAGAGTTTTTATTTTGTATTCCTAGGTCATAAGGGGAAAAATAAGTATCAATTTGATACAGATCTTACACTTCACTGGAAAGTAATTGAGATGTTTACAGTTTGCCATTCTTCCTACAGTACCGGTGCGGCATGAAATTTTAGCTATGTTTTGTGGCATTGAGAATGAAATCCACTCAAGCTTGATCTGCTTTCGAAATACAAGAGTCCTGAATTAATGAAGGAATTACAAGATATTATTCTGTGCGATGCTCCTTGTCATACAGGTCATTTTTTCCCCCTAGGGAATAATTCAAGGCATTAAATATATTTTCTTTCAAGGCAGAGTGCAATGACACATTTTGTTAGTAGAAAAGAGGCAGGGGTGAAATCCAGCAGGTTCTGACAGGTTCTGGAGAACCGGTAGCGTAAAGTTTGAGCAGTTCAGAGAACCAGCAAATACCACCTCTGGCTGGCCCCAGAGTGGGGTGGGAATGAAGGTTTTGCAATCTCCTTCCCCCAGGAGTGGGGAGGGAATGGGGATTTTGCAGTATCTTTCCCCCAGGAGTGGGGAGGGAATGGGGAATTTTGCAGTATCTTTCCCCCAGGAGTGGGGAGGGAATGGGGATTTTGCAATCTCCTTCCCCCAGAAATGGGGTGGGAATGGGGATTTTGCAGTATCCTTCCCCTCAAGTGGGGAGGGAATGGGATTTTGCAGTATCTTTCCCCAGGAGTGGGGAGGGAATGGGGATTTTGCAATCTCCTTCCCCAGGAATGGGGATTTTGCAGTATCCTTCCCCATGAGTGGGGAGGGAATGGGGATTTTGCAATTTCCTTCCCCCAGGAGTGGGGAGAGAATGGATATTTTGCAGTATCCTTCCCCTGCCACACGTCCACCAAGCCACGCCCACAGAACCGGTAGTAAAAAAAATTGGATTTCACCACTGAAGAGAGGCAATCTGGGTGATTTGGGGTTGTGTGGGGGTGCAGGGAGTCACTTGCTTCAGGTACTTTCCTGATTTCGATTGCATAAATTTCTATAGTGGAAAGATTATGACCTTTCAGAGTTTTAAAATGGCCATTAAATTAGCCATTTAGGACATCAACCCCAAAACTGCTGCTCCACAGAAGTATAAGACCTTCAAAGAGGTGAATGAAATTTCAGATTCGGTTCTTAGGCCGTACGGACAAGCCTTGAAATACCATCAGTCTTCCCTCCTAGTTGTTTTCCACTCTGACGATCAATTTTATTTTTCTCCTCCAAATTGCTCCCACGTTCCCCATATAGTTTCCTTCAAACCTGGCGGGCTCCAGATGTGTTGGGAGTAGAATTCCCCGTGGCCAGGCTGGGTATCGGTTCTGCTTCTTTGGCTATTAGCTTTCTTTCCCGAATGCATAAAGACCCAATGCCATCTCTGTGGAATATTTTGAATTTATGTTAATTGCTTTAAAATGACTTTCTGCTTTAGCTCATCAGCGTTAATGCTACGTTGATGCTCCCCTGATTTCTAATGAGTGGATGTTGCAGAATAACGCAAACAGAAAGGAGCACCTAGCCTCCTTGACTTTTCTAAGTTCTACATTTAGGCAAGAAAAACAAAATGCACAGGTACAGTATAGGTGGTACCTCGCTCAATAGTAGCAACTGTGAGAGGGATCTTGGAGTCCTAGTGGACAACCATTTCGATATGAGCCAGCCGTGTGCAGCAGCTGCCAAAAAAGCCAATACAGTTCTAGGTTGCATAAACAGAGGGATAGAATCAAGATTACATGAAGTGTTAATACCACTTTATAATACCTTGGTAAGGCCACACTTGGAATCCTGCATCCAGTTTTGGTTGCCACGATGTAAAAAAGATGTGGAGACTCTAGAAAGAGTGCAGAGAAGAGCAACAAAGATGATTAGGGGACTGGAGGCTAAAACATATGAAAAACGGTTGCAGGAATAGGGTATGTCTAGTTTAATGAAAAGAAGGACCAGGGGAGACATGATAGCAGTCTTCCAATATCTCAGGGGCTGCCCCAAAGAAGAGGGAGTCAAGCTATTCTCCAAAGCACTTGAAG